CCTCAAGACATATCCAAAAAAGCTGTTGCACTTGAAATGATGGCCATCCTGCAGGCCTGTCAAGCAACACTGGGGAACACGGGAACCATTCCGAAGTCCTGTCTCCTATGGGGAACCCCTTGGGTTGTTTCCGTGCGGCCCTTGGCAAACGGGGCACGGCCACCCGCGTTTGCCCTCCATCCCACTAACATGGCACCTGACATGACAGGGGGTCCCTCAGAAGGAATTGGATCTTTCAGGTTCCTATCTACAGGTGGTATGCTGGTGGGAGGTAGGGTGTTCCCCCACAAGGAAGCGTAACCCAACTGCTCAAGCACACTTCCCCTTCGCCGACATCTTTCAAAGCCATGCCCAGCCTCACCACAGGTACAGGTGGGGCAGTTGAACTGCAGGGGGCACGACTCCATGATCTCGGACGCCGGTTGCTCCGAGACTCGGACTTCTACGAGTTTAAAGCACAAGCTGTGTTGATCCGATAGGTTTTGAGCACCACTCATTCGGATAACAACACTTCTTGAGAAAGCTGCTCCTCGTGAGCACTGCGAATTTGATGGTTGGCCTTTCTTCGGATTGGAAGCTCAGCCGAGCTTCTCACATTAACTTTCTGAGCTCTGGCGGCCCTAGCGCCTGGCTAAATGATACTTCCACCCGAGTTTGCAGCCCACAGTTTCCGCCGAATCTATCGTGTGAGTCCAGGCTGCTTCGCACATGTGCCAAAGGTAGATTTCCCCTTCCTGTGAGAACCAGGGACGGTACCTTCCGCAAACCCCTTCTGCCAAGCTTCCGCGGCGTGAACCGTTGCTGCGCCGGACATGTGTTTGTTAATAATGCTTCCGCGAGCTTCCGCAAGCATGGCCCCAGTGCGCTTGGTGTTGGGCTTCTTTTGCTTTGTTGCAATGGAGGCTTTAACACACAAACCTTCCGCGAAGCTTCCGCGAGGCAAATCCTTCCGCGACTGCAGTCCCACGCGCAATCTGCAAGAGTAATGTGCACCCGCTTACAACAAAAAAGAAGCTCAAAGGGCTTCTCTCACCCTATCAACCAAAAGGTACTTGGAGCTCCTTGCTTGCGATTGCACCAACCAGGTGTATGTTTACACCTGTGACCACACTGCTCTACCCCCTCCAGGGCCCAGACCATCATGCTCTCGCCGCAAATTGCCTTCATGCTCTCGCATTGGAGCCTTGGACCCGAGCAGACCATAGCAGGGGAACGCGACTGATCAGGGGCCTCGTTTGATTCTTGCTGTTCGACTTTGAGCCGAACTGCCCGACATCTTGCGCCGGAATCAGGCTAATTCATTTAATTCATTGGTGGAAAATCACTATACCAAAGCAGACCATGCCCAGAACTGTATTGAAGGGGATTCCCTTGATTCAGGAAAACTGGTCCCACAGCCATCCGGCGCTCTTGGGCCGCGGTTCAAGGAAGCATTCAGATCCCTCTTCCAAAGCCAGCATCTTAGGGTTGACATCCCGTTCCCATCAGAAGCAAAAGGGAACGGGCTGGCTTGATAAGAACGAGAACATACCAAAGAATCCTGGGGAAGGAGCTCTTGAAAAGAATGGAAAAGGATATCAACCCCATTCGATGATTCGAATCTTGGGGGAGCAAAAGGGCAAGAGTTCGAGACCAGGCCGGTTCTCAACACGGGGTCACAACAGACGCAACCTGAAAGAGCGTTTCTCAAGAACCCGCCGAATGGATGCTCTTGCCCTTTAAGGAACACCAGACAATTGGGTATGCCCAGAAAAGAGACACCCAAACGATCACACATGTATTGATCATCGGTCAAAGCATGCTTTGCCGATCCTTTGAAAGGTGTTCTGATAGCTGGGAAAACATAGTTGCCAAGGGGCGATGCGGCGGCATTCATGCCTCAGGCAAGCTTCAGGAAGGCAACCAGGGTGCTTGGAAGGCGGGGGCAAGGCTTGAACATCAGTGGCCCTGTGGACGGGCTACACCTTCCGCTCCAAGGCGGGCGGCCAAGAGAGTCAAGGAGCTTGCGCAAAGGGTGCAGCCTCGAAAGAGATTTGCTGCGGCCAAGCGGAAGGGGGCCAACATCTGCGGCATAGCTCGTGGCAGCTAAGAACGTCAAGCCCGGCCGAGAGAACGAGAAGCCTGAGGCTTGGCCGAAGCGCTTTGTGGAGCAGGCGTTGGATCTGGACCGGAGATGATCCAGACCAAGATCAGCAAGAAACAAATCCAGGCGGCGAGTGCCAGCTCGTAACTCATCGAGTGCGTGGGAGGAAATTGGGCGAACCCCATTCGACGCAAGTCGAAGGAGAGAAAGTGTGGTTCACCAAACACGACATGCAACTTTGACATGGCTCAAGAGACAATCGCGCGTCCCACTTGGAGACAAACCCACACTGGGCTGTTCCCTGAGCAGTAGTACTGGATGGGGCTTTCAAACGGCCAATGATAAAAACGGGTGACTGTTCATGGCGGCTATGGACAACCCAAGATTTTGGCATGTTTTTCTGACTGGGGCGCAGCAGAGCCCGGCCATTTAGCAGTCTTGGGACAACAGCCTTCTCATACTACGAACAATCAATCGCGCGCGGGTCCTTTTGCGTTGTTTGAGAAGAGATTAGACGAGGAAGCCTAGACTGCCCTATGCTTGTGGAGGGCAACTGCTGACGTTTCCAACAAGGTACCATTTTTCCAGCACTCTCAGAAGCCGACAGAAGAATATGGAAAACTGGCCTCTTGCTCGGACCGCGCCTTCCCTTCTTCTTTGGAAACTCATCCCAAAGCCAACAGTGCCCTGGTTTGAAGCGACCCCAATGTGAAAGTCCACATGTCCTTTTCCAGCGGGAAAATTGTCTACAAGAGAGTATGTATACACGCGTAATGTTGGTGGGAGACACGTGAGTACCAATATTCAATGATGCGAGGCGTGATTTGTAGCCACACGGCCTTTTAGGTCTCCATAGACAGGCTATCATGCGCTCAGTTTGCTTGTGGGGTGCCCTTCCATATAGTGTTAAATCGCGCAAGGCAAAACCACGCAAACAAATGTTCATCATCGCTTGGTGAGCCCAAAAAACCATACAAAACACTCCCAACAAAAACCCGGACAGGCTTGACGCATCCACAAATCCCCACGCCGACGGAACCGCCACCTAGCGATCACCAGGCTGCAGCTGCCGCTGGCATCGCAATCGTAACCGGTGGAGTTCTCGCTTGCCCGCGTGCTAGGCAACAGGCCTTTGGACTTGGGAAAAAATGAATCACGCATCTCAGAAGGCTATCTGGGGCATGTGTATCAATTATATAAATTATATACATACACATATATATATATACACATATATTATGCAGGCGCCCCTCCCCCTCCATGGACTTATCCTACTTTCAGCGCAGGAAAGTACCTTCCCCTGCGAGCGGTGCCTTGTGCTTTTGCTGGCTGGGCTTCCGTGGATTCCCGGATCACTAACCTGCTGACCAAAGAGCACACTACCGCCAAGCAGAGTGGCAATTTCCAGCCCTTCACCGGGAGGGGGGGGGGTTCAACCCAAGCAACACTAAACATCAGCGGCCACAGAAAGATTTCCTGTGAGCAAGGGTACTCCTCGTTGTTCAAATCATTGACTTGCACGACAGTGGTTACCAAATTGTTTGCCCGAAATACAGGCTACCTTCATGACCCCATCACTGATCTTTCCGTAAGCCCGTCGCGGATCTTTCGTACATGTAGCTCAAACCAACACCCACACAACGAACAACTTTCCACTACAGCCGATGGCGCCAAGCACATGCACGTGGACAGGCTGTCTGTACGGATTTTGAGGGAAGACAGCTGAACAACTCGGTGACTTGTTTTTGGTTACTGGGTTCCTTAACGAGAGCTTGAGGGTTCCCCCAGAAAAATCAGCGCGCCCATAGGCACAAGGACCACACTCCCGAGTCATTGCTCAAAACTCCTTGGGAAATGATCATCGTTCCGCTACAAAACCTAGTCTTAAATCCTTACCGGGTCTACGATTCCTCGCCAGCCCCAAGACAACAAGCCGTTGGACCACGCAAATGGTACCACTCCTTGAAATGCTTGTTCCCTTCGGCTTCCCTTTAGTAAGGTCTCTATCTTCCAAATGGGGGGGGGGGCCCTTTCGAGCATGGGGTCGGAAAGAAACCCACGGACCACTTTGGAGAGTCCCCACTTTTGAGGAACACCGTGGGATGTGTGCGACCCGCTCTTTGTTCAGAGCGTCAGGCCAACGCCCCGATCGCCCGCATCGCCATGGCCATGGAAGCGGCGAGAAAAGCAGAGCCCGGCTGCGTCCCGTTCGAAGCCGGGTCCAGTGAAGTGACGGATGGGTTCCATGTTCGTGGATGCAGGGGGGGGGGGCAGGGTGTCGGGCAGAGCAAATGGAACCAAATATTTGGGCCTGCAAATAGGGCCTCCCCATCATGGGTTAGGTCGCGAACCCAGTTTGTAAGGTTGCAATATTTGGGCCCAGATTGTGGTGTGTGTTTGGTGAAATGACCCCGAAAACTGTCAAATATTGGCAAGTGAAATGATGGAGCCACTCTGGGGCGTGATGATGCTGTTCATTCGAGCCTGTGTGCTGTGCATCCGATTTCATCCACAAATCACTGACTCTTGTGACAATGGTACACAAAAGCCACAACACGGGAACAAGGCAGAGCCCTCCCGCCGTCGATTTCGTGACAGTGAGTATCGCATCAAAAGCCAGAGCCCTTTAGTTCTTGCAGCTTCATTCTAGCCAAGCTTGTGGTGTACCACTTGCCGCACGGCACAATCGAATAATTCGTCTCCCTGGTGGGGTCTCATGGAGGTTGCTCCGAAAATGGTTGGCTTCCTTTTCTAGGTCCTCTAGAGAGGTTGGAATAAGGGTACCCCTTTTTTCTTTAGTCTATTTTAGTAGGGAAACCCTCCCCCAAAAAAAGAAACGGTAAAAGGGCACTACTGAGACCCTCCCCGTTTCAGGTGCCCACCGCAAACCCTCTCCCCATCCCTCTCTGTCGCCGGCTGCTTGTCAGCGATCCACTCCCCTTCGTAAGTGGAGCCGTCCATGTGTTGATACCTGGAGCTCCCGCGGCCCTTTGACGTGCAACGAGCATCCCTGCGGCTATCGCTCAGGTTCGCTCAGGGAAAGTGACGTGCAACGCGTCCCTTGGGCCTGGAAATCAGTGTGCTCCAACTTAATGACTTGCTTCATCTGTGCCGAGTTGGTCAGGCCCTAGTGGGCATGGAAGGCAAAGCTCCTTTTGATATGATTCGTCGTGGGTGGAACTAGTGGGATGTAGTGGGGCAAGGGTGCAACTAAGTGCAGGATTGCTTGTCAGACGAGCATCCACCAAGGGCGCTTTGTGTTCGTGGCCTGGTTGACTGCTATAAGGGTTGCAACACGCAGCTAACAATGATCATTGAAATGAGGTCACAATGAATCAATGCACTACAGTAAAAAACGAGGAAAATAAATCTCCTTGGCCCTGGTACTGGTGTTTTGTATAGGAACCCCACCAAGGTTGTCTCAAGCGTCCGACCATCCCTACCAACCCCGAGCAAAGGCGTCTTGTGACCTTGGCACATGTGTCTGTGTGGTTGTGTGTGTAGCGTGTGTGCTGAACGCCCATTTAGCATCGCGATTCCAAGCCCCTTCGATTGAGTTTGCTCCAACTTGGCCCCTGAGTTGCCATTGGGGCAGGAGAGAGCCCTCTTGTTTTGTTCGGTTCGAAGTTAGAGAGCAACCGCAGAAGAACACAAAGCGCCACACAGCAACGCGGGCCGGTTCTGGGATGTGTTGCTGGCGGCCATATACATTTAAGGGGGAGTTGCACGGCCTAGCTGCACGCACCTATGGGGTTGGTTTGGAGGGTTTAAATGGGTGTGCAAGTACCCGCAGGTTTCAATGAGCTTGGAAGGTCGACCTCTGGTGGACACTGGAAACGGGTGCGTTTGTCGGCTTCATGGTTTGGACCCCTTTCCGCAAGGGACCGTTTCGACATGGTTTCCATGGCAACGTGGACAGGGAGGACAATTGGTATAAAGGGAAACCCGCCAAACGTGGGAAAGGGTTTCTGACACGCCTCTTAACATCACCCCACCGAAAGGAAACTAGTTTTTGAAGTCAAGGGACACATAAGGACTGTCGGGGGAATGTGCCCCTCTGTTCCGTGCCTTCCGTGGCCATGGGCCTTGTCGTTCTGCCATTCACCCTGCGCAAGGACTCGGGCAAAGCATCGCAAGGAATAAAGTATGGAACTCTGCGGTTATGAGGGGAAAATGTCCACACGCGATTTGGGGGGGGGGCTTTGGGCTCCAATAGAACTCACTGCCATATTGCAATATCCTCAAGGCTCGCATGGCTGGCTGGACCCGTCCCTGCCCGGCATGTCTGCACCATCGCCAAAGTTGCTCTGTCCTCTGCTCCCAAAAAAAGCAAGTACTAGATACGCAAATAGATTCGTAGCCAGAACCGCGCACGCCTGTCAAACTTCAGGTACATTGTCTTCGCTTCGGTAGCTTCACCCTGGAAGTCCTCGACCGTTTTTAAATGGTCTGTTCGGAACGACCGTTTTTGGCCAGTAACAGCTGTTTGTGTACTCTTGTATTATTTTACAGCCCTCCTGCCAATAAAACTGCCCCTTGGCCTCAAGACAATCACTTTGGCTATGACGTTGAGGGTTTTTGGGCAGCGATTCGAGTCCAGTGTTTGAACAAATGTTCGCTTTGCAACATCAAGTTTGTAGGGCAAATAATGCTTTTTGCGCTGATGCGGATTTGTCAAAGAATCACAGCTGAACCGACCTTTGAACTACATTCTCTGGAAGGCATCGCGGAACAGAGCATGCCCAAGTTTGCATCACAAAATAGCAAGGGAACGACTGTTATATGTAGAGCGTAAAACTCGAAGCCATTTGCAGCGCATAGCCGAAGGTGTCAATCTCGCTATTTGAAGACTGCAGAAGTTGTCATCCTGAACATACAATAGTATGCGACAATAACTCGTGATTGAAAATACCTTGCTTGGCTCTAGTGTTAGCTGTCCTGAAAATAGCGTGAAACTGCCGTGAAATTGCAGTGAAACTACCGTGAAACACCGCTTTTGGCCGTGAAAGACCGTTGTTGGCCGTGAAAGGCTGTTTGTGGATTTGTCCCAAAGCACACAACATGCCAATTAGAAGCAACACACACACACACGCAAAACCTATAGAAATCCTGTTTTGATAGTTTGGATGTTGATTCCTACACATGTTGGCGGTGGCCTCAGGCATAGCAGCTCTGGCACGGCAAGTTACTTGTGCGGTGGCCCAGGCAAACAGCCGGTGTGGATGTTTTGTGTTGGCTCCAACTTTGTGAGACAGGGCAGCCTTCTTAACTTCTGCCCCTCATAGCTGCTTGATTGGTCAGCTCGCAAAAGGTTAATCATACGGCTGGTGTGTTTTCTTTTGGCATTAAACAATTTGGTCCAAGGTTAAAGCGTGATTTATGACTTACTGCGTGCAATCCTGCAAAAGATTCAGCGGCTTAGCCAAACCTGAACTAAACATTGGGCGCGGGCGCGATCCGCGCCTCGTCCTAATTTGGCAGTTGTGTTTTTGAAGCAAGCTTTGAATAATAGAAACATCAGCTTTCAAGAAACCGTCTTTCTATAAAGCACCGTAATAAATACCGCCTTTGGAATCCCAGGGTTCAGGGGTCATTTTAGACACTATTGCGGCATCCGAGGGGCCTTTCCGCATTGGGGTAAATCGGTTGGCCCATTGGCCACTTGAAAAGGCAAATAACTCTTTGCAAAGCAAAAGGAAGGTCTGAGCACCACTGGGTCAAAGCAAGGGCATTCGGGGCCCGATGTTTCGTTGAGGAAGTGGCACTGTGCATGCGTCTGTCGTGTCCGTTGAGACAGTGCTGTTGATGATTCACAGACATTGAGACATGGTAGGACTGCTACAGCTGTCCAAGCACGTGTGCTGAGCAGGAATCGAATTTGGAACCAGCAGCATTCAACTAGCAACAACGCACGCGCACAAACACACAAATTAAACACATACACCTACAACCACACACAACCACACAGACAGACAAATAATAAAACATAAACATGAACAAACAACAAACAAAACATTGCATAAACTCTTCCAACAGTCCCCACCTAAGAAAGTTGCTTGGCTAAACTAGACTGCAGCCACACAGGCACCAAAAAGCCAACCCGACTGCATGCGGGGTCTCAAGCATGCTGCTGGCTGATGCGACGGCACAGAAAGAAACTCAGCCAAACCAACCTGAAACCAAGGCAGCGTTGACCCACCTTCTATAGCAGCCTTAGCTGTAGCTATTACTGTCATCACTTTTTTTGTGTGGTGGAGATCTCCAGGGACCAGGCAGGCTCTTGCAAGGACACATCATCCGTAGTTCCCAGATCCAGCCACATGGGGCTGAGAGCAGATGAATATCGCTTGAACTCGTGGGGCAAAATTTGCCAAAACAAAAAACAAACGTCTAAGCGCTCAATCTTCCTCATCCTTTTTCTAGTGAATCGGCGTAGCTTCAGCTGCTGCGCGCGTTTTCCTGCCTGAGACGAACAGGCTCTCTAGAGGCGCAATTGAGTGCTCCTGGCGCCTGGGCCTTTGTAGTCAAACAAACAGCCCCACATCTGCGAGCCCTCGCCTGTAAACCTGGCTCGGAAAAATGGCACGTCGCCTTTTCACATCTGCCTGGTTCATTATGCTTGCTTCTCAGTCTTGCGGGAGCTGTCGTTGTGGCCCGGCCACAGCCGGAAGCCTGAGGCCTCGGACTGTCACAAGCTCTGTCACAGGCTCTGTTGGAGCTGTCTTTCACATCTCGCACACACACACACACACACACACACACACACACACACACGCGCGCGCGCGCGCGCATGCAAATGCACGCACACGCGCCGGCCTGCGCACTCGCCCACCTGCTCACCTGCCCCGGCTGCATGCCTGCCCACCCGCCTCACAAACAAATGAACACCCTCCTTGCCTCATAGATGTCGCCATCTGCATGGATGAATTTGCCATAGCCAGCAGCCTTGCGAGTTTTGGAAGCCAGGTCTGGCCACGCAACACCACGCGACATGTGAATCCGATCGTTTCCATTGACGAGCTGGCATTCGCCCACTTCAATTCATGCCTGAGTGCAAAGCTCGGGGGAAAACAAAAAAAACAACATAAAAGCTAACAAGCATCTCCTGGAAAGTGGCTGCTTGCCTTCCAGGGCTTCCCGTCGCTTGAGACGCATCCAAGTGTCGGCTTTCGATGTGTCTCTGTGTATTGCTGCTTTGAAGCCACCCATTTAAGTGTTGGTTTGCAGCGAAGCCAAAAAAGAAACCACCATTCCCGTCTCACGCACCTGCATCCCAAATGCTTGTATATTGAGATAGACCCAAGCGCCCAGGGGCGACCCCCGAGCTTACGACCCCCACACATCCAAACTTGAACATGTTTGTGGCAAATGACCCTAAAACAAAAATGAATCGGGTTCTAGGATTCTGCAACCCGTTCATTCGGGCCGGCTCTTCCCCTGGTTGAACTTGCGTGCATCGTGATTCTTGAACATGCCAGGTGTATGGTCAGACACTTTACGCTGGAGACCTTCCCTTGTAAACCGGCCTTCCACAAATCTGCATTTCTGGAAAGGCTTTGCCACCCTGGCAAATTGGGGGAAGCCTGCGCTCTTCAGTCAGGGTCTGTGCGCAAGTCCATACATAAAAAGGGGCATAATTACCCAATTCATAGCTGAAATGTGGACGAAAGCGTGGACAAATGGAACATGAGGGATGGAAGGCGCTTCTGGTAGTGGATCGGCCAATTTAGAGCGTGGTCTGCGCGCACACGCTCAAACTCGGCAAACAACTTATCAGAACAAAATACTTTTAATTTTGGCGGATTCTTTCAGAGGACATGCTGGCTGGCTCGGACTTGTATCGGTCCCCTTCCGGGAAACATCTCATGATTTGTTGCCTGCGTGAGGGGCCCCAAATCATGCCTGGCATTGGGTCCTGCTGTGAGTGGTCATCTCAGTGGTGTGTTGGTCCCTTCCTCAAATGTTACACTTTCAGAGGAGTATGCTGCAAATCCTTCTGAACACTAAAGAAACGTCTTAAGGGTATGGCGCGTGTGTCAAGGTTGGGCCACCAACCAGTTTAATTCTTAAACCGCTGTGTTCAAGCAGAGCATGGTGCATCAAGCCCCTCAACGCCACACCACAAAGCGCAAAATGCCGCCACTTGTCCGTGCACGTCAACTGCGCAAGAGCCAACCTTCAACATCTGCCACCTGGACACCCGAGCAAATCCACGGCTCTGAAGCCCCCCACTTCGATGACCATGGCCATGATTCGCCATGTTCCACTCCGCGCTCGAGCTGCAACAACATCGCACCGTCAAGGCTTGGACCCACATGCTACTTGCTTGCTGTTTAGTGGAGAAAAACACATTTCCCAACAGCTCAACGTTAGAGATCCAACCAAATGGCAGCCAAGATAGCGCCAACCAGAACGGGTTGACGTAGGACACAGGACCCAGCCTTGTTCTCCTGGAAGCTGCCCTCGTAGGACGCGCCGTCCGGCCAGGTCTGCAGGGATGCACTCATTGCTCTCCCAGCCAATCCATCCGGGGCTCATTTTTCCCACAGCTCCCTTAGCTTCCTGAGGTCTTGGGATCGAAGTTGTCCTTGCCTGTGGGCTCGAACATTCCGCAAGCTGCCGGTGCTTATTTCCTAAACTGATAAAACAACTGTCAAAGGTTAAATTTGGAGGAGAGCAATCGGAAAGCCACTGTGAAACGGAGCCGCTTCAGCAAACCTCTTTGTAGTGGACCCGTGCCAGCATGAGATCAAGCCGATGCCTTGGCTGCGCGTGTAATTCAGCAGTTAACATGTGATGGGTGTCAACTAGTTAGTTTGGGTGTCTGGACAAATGAAGCAATATCCCTTTTCAGGTGTCCATCAGGAAAGCTTCAAACATAAGCTCGCTTCCTGAGTGGATTCGCAAAAACAAGGTTTCATGTTTTTCTTTCGCACCAAAATGGTCTTCCCCATATATATATATATATATATGGAATCCATCACATCAGGAAGCGAGCAAAGTTTAGCGCCCGACGCGGTCATTCGGCGCAGAACGAGCCCGAACGAGCCACGAGTTTCAGTCATTCTGGCGACAGAGCCTTCAAGGACACCAACAAAAAAATCGGCAGCAGCAACTCGATTGAAAGGGAAACCAACATGAAACAAGTGGTGGAAGCCAAGACCTGGATTGCATTCTGGCGGGCTTCTCCCATCTACATTGGTCGTGAACCCATGCTTCGGGTGCCAAAGCCCCGCTTGGCACATGGGCTCATTTTGGAAGCTACCTTCCAAAAGCTCAGAGTGAATGAACAATCACTTCCGGACTGGGTGTTGAGTAGGGAGGTCTGGGCGAATAACAAAAACATCCCATCATGGGAGGTTAGGGCAAAAAAATAACAAGTCGCGGGTGGAGCTGCGTTCATTTCCAGATGCTGAGGCAAACCCCAAACACCAAGGGACAACCTGAACAACAGATTGCAGGCGACCAAATTGGGGGCTGACTAGGCGAACGAACACTTGCAGGTTCGGAAAACAGCTCAGGTGAATGGTTAACGGGAAAAGCAGATACCGGCCGACTGTTGCTACAGAATCGGTTGCCAACGTGCGCAAAACCCAAGAGCCTCTGCGAACGCTTGCGTGTGCGAATCTCATATATGCAAGCACAGTACCAAATAAGGGCTACAGCTCAAGTTTGCGCACTTATACGGAGTGATGTGAATCCACTGGGTTTAGGAGAACACTTGGCGAACCCCAAGCTCCACGCCTTTGCAGATTCATGTTTGCTGTACCCACTGCCCACGTAGGCTTTGCGCTTCAAAGGCTCAAAGCCTACAGAAACAAAAAGGAAGCGTCCCCTTTCCCTGTTGTGTCGACCTGTGTTCTCCAATGGCAAACTGTTGGACTTCATGAATGTAAAGGGCTCCCTGCACGGCAGGATTTCTCCATTCTGAGAACACCCAATAGACCAACCCAGCAAACAGGAGGGTGTGTGTTTTTATCGGGGGACCCTGGTGGGATGGATGTCTAAGCGTGTGGACGATCGATTGCCAGGCAGGCCCTGATTTCCAGTGGCCGCGGACAAGCCAATGGCCCCTGTTTGTTGGTAGTTGATTTCAAAGCGAACCCCCGTCCAAAATCAAAGAGGAAGATCTTTGAAGATGGACCAATAAATTAGTGGATTTGCAATTAAAGGAAAAAACGGCCACCTTTTTCGGTTGGCTGATTTCAAACGGAAAACCCCTGCAAAAGAAAGCAACGATACAAAGGATAGGATCGACCTACTAGTCGATTCCAAGAGGGAAAAGAGGACACCCTCTGCTGGTTGGTTGGTTTTAAAGGGAACAACCAAATCCAACAATCGAGCACTGGAGGCGTAGGCCACGGCGAAATTCGCGCCTGTTTGCCGAAGCCATCGCGGGCTTGGCCCTTCCATTGGCCGACGTAGACTGCGCCGTTGGACAAGGTCTCCTCGCTCAGGGGTGCGTTTCCCACACTTTTCTTGGCGGCCATCGTCCCCCCCCCCCTCCTAAAAAAAAAAAGGAAAAGAAAAGAAGCTTTGAATTTTCTGGTGGTGGATGGACACATATACATGATCCAAAAGTGTTTACGGCTAACTATGCGAGCAAATATCAGCCATGTTTGATGGCACCAGGTCGGCATGCCTAAAGCTGGGCCCAGAGCCAGGGGAAGGGGAAGTTCGAAGCCCTCAACGATCCTGGGGTAAAATGAATCATTATACGTGCCATGGTCAAAAGACATATGGCCATGGGTCAAAACCCTGTATCCATGGTGAACATCCCAATCCAACCACTAAAATAGGTTCTAAAATGGGTGGTGAATTCACCTACCAACCAAAATGGGATCCCGTTGGTTTTGACAACCACAGCCATATTCGGGGTTGATAGGTCATGGACCCCTTAAAGGCTGAAAGAGCATCATCGAGACTCTACCGTTCGACATTTGGGAGTCTATGGGTTCAGTCTTTAGGAAAGCATTTCAAGTTGCCACGGTGGGTTTGGGTTGGTTTAGGAACCGAAAACCTGCAAAAGCCATCAGCCAAGTCCGAAAAGGGCCGCCAGTGCGGAGAAACAGACATACCTGAACAACAAAGAGCATATCCTGGCAACAATCACCGTCCGATGGAAACTCCTCCACAAAATAAATGGTTGTCGTTGAGGCCAAGTACAGGTTGCAACATACACTTCACCAGCACGCAAACACACACACAGACAGACACGCTCACATTGTGGTACGTTATGGTAGTGCTCACAATACCTCAACACCGTTCGTACAAAGCTTGAACAATAACGAGTTGCTGCTGTATAACCAGGCAACGGCGCCAGGTGAAAGATCCAGCGGTTTGAAACCAGATCCAGCAGAATGATAGATTTGGGTAAACTCAAAAAAGTTACTTCCTGACCAACTGAAAAAGGATCGACCTGCTAGTAAAGAATCATGATCATTGAGCTAGTTTTGTCCCCAGTTGAGCTCGCTGCGCAAAATTTTATCAAAGACAGGCGTCAAAGGATCGGACTCGCTTGCCCTACACTCCATAAACCAACGTGGTCGCCATCCCTGGCGTTCTAAAAACCATCCCACAAAACGAATCCCGACTTCCCATCCCAAGGCAGGCCAACATGATCTCAAGCGCTGGGATCTGCTCCTAATCTCGATTGGAAACGGATTCCGGGATTCCCGATTCCCGGATTCCCGGATTCCCGGATTCTCAAGCCAAATTGTCCGAATGCAAAGATCTGTGGAACCTACTACCTTTCCCTGCTCCAAGTAAACGATCTAGTGGTCAACCTAGGCAGAACGGATATGGGGGTATCCTAAAATTTAAAATGGCGGGGGCGGCAAACGGGACGGGTTTGAACAGAAACCGCAAAAAGAACAAGATTTGCAGAAATCTCCCTCCCCGACAAACTTTCTCTGCATTGCCGGATATAAACCTGCTTGGCTACTCAAACATTTGGGTGCTTCTCAAAATAGGGGCCAAAGCTGGGTTGGTCCTTGTGGTTTCCCTTCAAAGCCATCCAAAAAGGGCTCCGTCATTTTTAGAAACCTCAGAGCCTCAGGGGGGCTGCTTCGCATCAGACACGTTGCCTCAAATTGACTTTTGCTGCTCCCGGGTGAGCCGAATATTGCCTCCCGGAAGCCAGTCGAAATTCTGAAAGACAGTGACCGGGACCCAGCAGCAATTGGCACTATTTCAACGGCCCAGTTGTACCAAACACACACTTATCATTGTGCCATCCCAAAGATGCTCTTGCGACTGCATTCAGGGCCAAACTCAGAAATCCTGTCTGTGGCTCCATTTGGCCAGTTTCGCGTCCGGGCGCTTCGAGTTTCGAACCCGGGCTGCGGCCTCCCGGGTCTGTCGCCCCTCAAGGCTTTGCGTGAGAGGGATCACCTGCTGGGGGCGGCGTGGAACTGCGATGTCCGACGTGTCTCTCTGCCAGTGGAACAAGCAAGCTCAGTTGTGCTCTTACCACCAAAATGGATCTTCAAAGAGAGAATAACGCCCATTATAGAGTGAGGCATCATGATGGTGAATCAAACATAATATACGTAAGGAGTCCCAAGGCGACCTTCATGCGCGAGGTCGCCTGGTCTGCAGGGTTCCTTCAACTACAGTAAGCTTTCTTTGTTTGCTTACGTAATTGAAGAATCCCAAAGCACCCAACGGGCGGGCCACATCGGGGGCAGCCCCATAAGAGCTTATATAAATCAAACCGGGGATTGAGCCCCCAAAACTGTGGGCGCTACTCCGTTTGTTTATCCTCTTTCGTTTGGGAGGTCAAAGTGGACCCACCACCAAGCTACGTGCCCAACCATTGAACCGTACTATTTTGGAAGATCAACCCTAGAAACCGGCTCTTAGTTCAAGTTCAAGCGGTCCCCCAACAGCACGTTCAAATCATGCACGCCACAGAC